AGTTCACAAATATCAGTATGAACTAATTCTAACAAATCAGTTTTTCTTTCAACTTGAAAATGAGGCCTTTTAGTGATTTTGGCTTTACTACAAGCCTCACACTTTTCAAAATTCTTTTTAATCATTGGAATTAATCCTAAACTACTCATGATTCCAATATAACGATCATTAATATGACACAAATGAGCATGCCAAAAATTGGTAGAAGAAAGCATATAAACAGAAGTAGAAACTTTATTCATTTCAACATTCAGTTTAAACATCCCATCACAAGCATACCCCTTCCCCACAAAAATACCCTTCTTCACTATTACATATTGATCAGATTCAATAATATGTTTAAAGCCTGCTTTATTAAGAAGAAAACTAGACATTAAATTTTTCCTCATAGAAGGAGTATTAAATACATCTTTCAAAGTTAATACCCTTCCAGAAGTAAAACACAATTCGACATCTCCCTTTCCAAGCACTTGAGTAGTGTGAGCATCACCAAGCATGATGGTTTTGGACTCCTCAAAATGAGTATATTTCTTAAACCAGTCTTTGTCATAACAGGCATGACGGTTTGTACCAGAATTTGCCCACCATCCATCAACATTCTCAACCATGTTTATGTCGGTAATCACCGCCACAAAAGGTTCTTCGGTAACGTTTGCCTTAGGGTTAGGACCACGCTTCCGAAATCTGCAAAATCGAGCAATATGCCCACTCTTGCCACAAACAAAGCATGGTCCCTTGTCTTGAACTTGTTGATTTTGTACTTGGTTATCTTCACCATTATTTTTATTGGGAGGTCTACCATTATTTTTCTTGAATTTTTTCTTCTTAGGCTTCAAAGATGTATTTTTGTGAGATTCAGGAGTAGCATTATTTGAAGTAATTAAATTTACCTTCGTTGTGATGTTGCTCTCTTCTATTTGTAAAAGTGCATCTTGTCCCCTAGCCTCTTCTTCCATGCGGATTTTCATTATCAAGGTTTCAAGGGAGGTTTCCTTTTGTTTGTGGCGTATAGTTTTTTTAAATTCCTTCCAAGAAGGTGGAAGTTTATCTACTATGCCACAAACAATAAGGTTATCTCCAATTTTTACCTCCTCAGACCTTAGCTCACCAACAATCATTATAAATTCTTGAGCTTGGTCTACCACTGATTTGTTGTCCACCATTTGGAAACGAAAAATTCTACTAGTCGCATATTTTTTCGCTCCAGCCTCTTCAGTATCATACTTACTCTGCAATGCTTTCCAATTTTTCTTTGCACTAGAGTAAGTTCTATCATAATAATCATAAAAATTATCAGATAGACAATTAAGAATATAATACCGACACTTATAGGAATCACCATCGTACTTTTCCACTTTCTCTAGATGAGAAATAGTTTCATCATCATTCATAGAGGTGATGTCTACTTTATTAGGATTCTTCTCAGTTAACACATAAGAAACATTGAGAAGACTTAAGTAGAAAAGTACTTTACCCTTCCATCTCTTAAAATGATTACCATTGAACCGAAATGGCTTGTTAAGGTCTCCCATCTTGACATCCGCGTTTTTTTCAATTGTAGCCATGATGAATCTCCTTAAAATTGTTAGTGAAAACTTACAAGATAACAAAAATACAAGATTACAATTGAAAATAAAAATGAAGAAATAAATCTCTTCAGGCTAAGGCGCGGATATCTCGCTCTCTTTAAGGAGATTCAAGCCCACTGCAACAAATGTTTTCACTGGTCCAGCAGTAGTCCTTCTTGACTTGTCCCCTCCAGGATACAACAACCTAATCACAAAATATAACTCAATAACTCTGGACAAGAGTTGAGTCCAACGCTCTACAAAAAGAACATCTCCCTTCAACTAATAAGAACTCTCCTTTTGACTAACTCTTTCACTCTATATTTTTCTTATATGTTGTGTGTAACAAACCAAATGAAGACCACCACTATTTATACTACAAGAAGTCTTCCTAGCAATGAATAGGAAGATAATGGGATAGTAAATAGTGAAAATAATGGTCTTAGAAGTTACATAGATTACAAAAAATATTGGGGAATAAAGTGTGAAATAAAGCGAGTGCATACAATGGCACTAACAGGCAGAATGAAGAATGCCACTAACGGGCAGAATGTAGAGTTGCACAATGGCACAATAATGTGCACCAAATGAAAATGTTAGAAACAGCACAATCAATGTAATTAAGCCTCCTAATACATTGTTCCAAGTATAATGCAAAAGAGACTAACGTTCTGGAAATGAAATGTGCATCTTAACTATAATTGTATAATATTAAAATGCTCCAAAACCAACAATAAGTCTAAGGTTTGACAACAAATGTCAGATGGGGGTTTTAAGATATCAACTAACAACTACAATAATCACTAAAATAGGGAATTAGACAAGTAGGAAGGAATTCTCGGAATATGATCGATTATAAGCTAATTTCACTATATGAGTAATTGGAGCTTAATAATAAAGTGCTGAATCACTATGGGTAGACTAGACTATAGGTGCAATAGTTTTCTCTCGAACAACTATTACGGTTCAGGCGAGTTCTCTCGAACCTCAATAAGCTTGACACTACAAAATAACCCAAAACCTTAATTTATCTACTCTCTCGAGCTAGATAGGTAGGAATGAGTTAAGATTCACTCTCTTGAGCTGAACCCATAACAACCCACCCACTACAATCATCAATCGATAATCTTGGTTTTAGAACTTCTCTCTCGAGCAAGCCCAAAACACTAAGCTAAAATTTCATTTGCAACTACAATTCATAAATTACTACTCAGCTATCGATCAAATCCACATTAAAACAACATTTAAATCATTAAACAACAATACCCATAAGCTAATTAAGCAAATAATCACACCCCAAGAATTGGGGTTTTAGCCAAGCATCATAAAGATAGAAATTAATACCAAAAACAGTTTCCATGATCTGGATATTGCAATCCAAGTCTTTAAAATGATCCAAAATGCTAAAAACCAAAGACCCATTTCGAATCTACTTGAAAAACCCTTCAAAGTTGTTCTCCAATGGAAAATACTAAGAAAACTCTCCAAAAACGGAAGAAAACTAAAAATGGACTTCAGTAATAAAACCAGCACTCTTGTGAACTCTGTAAAAAAATCAATTTATAGTTTCCCAAATTTTAGCTGAAAAGACCAGGTCTTCCTTGGCTTTTAATCCTCAAGGTTTTGTGACTTTAGGCAATCCAGAATGTGTCGCCGATCCAGTTGACGGTCCACCGAATGTCCAAATCCATCATCAAGTTGGCTTCTCCCCAGGGCTGACAGTCTGGAACTTTAGGCGAGCTGAAGTACCACTCGAATTGGTGACTCTCAACATTTTGCTATCTTCAGCCTTTTTTCATCCTTTTAGCTCCTTTTCGCCCGGTAATGTCCTTGCCTTGCTTGTTTTGCCTTCCTTACTACAAATCATCATTTTAACATCAGTTTGGAGCATAAATTAGGCATGTAAGGACTATAAACTATCAAAACAAAGTCCTAAATGAGTCAAAATCTAGGACTCATCAACCACCCATGTCATTAACCACTAATGTGAAACTTTTGTCATTTTTAACACCCCACCTCACACCCAGTGCTTAGCACCTGGTGCATGGATAATTTGGTTTTTGAGGCCCAACATTGAATGAGATAGACCCTGCTCTAATACCATGTTATAATTCTACCGTAGGTAGAACCCTAGAATATTGAGAAGGAGGAAGAAGAGAAGAGAAGACAATTGAGGGAGAAGATTATTACAGAAAGAGAAAGTAATTCTTCTTGTATTATTTTTCAATAGTAATTAATGATACATTAGGTACCTTATATAGAGGTACTGCTAAAAATAACTAATTATCCCTGCACTGTTAAGAAGTTAATAACTAACTAATCCTGAAGTTAGTTATAACTAACTTGCTATAATTGCATTTTGAAAGTACTCGTTGGAAGCCAATAAGACTAATATCAAATATATTTGTAGGAAGGAAAATCAATTCATAGCCACGAGCTAACACACACAAAAAGATATATAATATATAATATAATAATGTGCTAAACGAAATGAAGTTTTTTTCTTAGTATATTTAAATTGTGTGACTTTTAAAAAATGCACCAAAAAGTAGAGAGATATCTCTTCATATATTCTCGGAATCAAATTAAATAAATTGAAATAGAGGAAGTAGCAAATAAGGAAAGATGTATTGACAAAAGAAAAAAAAATGCAATTGAATAATGACACAAGAAGAACTCAAACCATGCCTTGCTACCAATTGACTATTATAAGGACTCTTGAATTCTAAAAAATAGCACTATATATATGTTTTTTATTTGCACAAATGCCCTACAACTCCCTCCAAATTGTTTCTTCTTCTTCTTCACTATTATAATTTAGATAAAACGTCAAAGTTAACTATTATTGATATTTTGAAGTGAGTTTAAAAATTCGAACCTGATATTATGTTGATTGAAATTGTTGAAAATACGAATATTTGAATCTTGAATACAAAACTTTTTGAGTTCATCATCGCTGCTGAAATATTATCAAAACGTTGTAACAAATATATAAATATCTTCAATAGACATATGTCATAATGTTTGATATTTTATCTTTGAGACGTTTCAAAGAAAAACGTGGGGATAATCAAATTGAGAATGAATATTTTTAGTGGCACCATTACTCAAAGTAACAAATTAAAAATCTAAATATCAAATGATATACTTCAGAAACAAAGATGTAGCTTTTCTATAAATTGCATTACCTCATTAAAATATAACCAGGTATGTTTCCAAATTGAACATGAATAAAACAAACTCATGGGCTTTCCAAGAAAAAATAAATAAATAGTAACAAAATTCACCACTAGGGCAACAAACAGTTGCTAAGTTAATTATTTTTGTATCTATAAATAACATTGCTAGTAACTTCTTTCAGGTCATTAACTCGAACTTGCACAAGATATATATCCTGTTGTTTAATGGTTATCGTGTAAAGTTGGTTACTCATCATGAGTGTTGGACCAGGAAATATGCTGGCTCAACTTTTGCTACATAGCCAAATTTGGATGTGTTATACTTATTATGCACCCCTATTAGTAGGCCCCCTGTTTTTGCCTTCTCGTGATAGCTCACTATCAATTTCGCGCATTCCCTAAAGAATTAAAAAGAAGCTAAATGATGAGAACAATCTACGGTGGGTGAAAATGAGAATTACGTACAATGTAGGAAAACGAAGTAATTAGTACTGTACTCGAGACTCACATAAGTGAATGATCTTCTGAATAGCCTGTATGCCATTCACAGGTTCTACTCCATTCCTTGACGCCATAAAGCGTGCATTGAGCTGTATAGATTGCCGCAGCAGCCATAAATGTTGGTGGATGCTTCAACATCTCATATTCCACCAGACAAAGCTCGATTAAGAAGAAAGACAATTCCTCTAGCTGGTATATATATAATTACAACAAAGAGCATAACTAAATTTCCTGTAGTAGGCATACAAATCTCCCACATATTCAACACCAGCAAGCGGGTTGTTTGCATCATCGTTGTCAATATCTATCAATGCCTCCTCAAACACATCCTCCATTTCAACCTCCTGCTCATGAGTTTGTAATCATCACGTATGTATAGAACATCAACACAAATTAATACCACTAGAAAAGGAAAATAAAAATAAATTTTCTTACAATTTGTGCGACCTTGTCATTTGAGAATGTTTCAGGTTGTTCCAAACACATAGGAACTGGTTGAGCTTCAGTTGTGTCATGCTCTTCCCATATGGTAAAATTTTCAATTGCTGGTTTTGGTTTCTTGTTTTCCTGTTCAAAATCATTTGAGTACCCTTAAATTTTTTTTTTAAAAAAATCAACTTTTATGTTTTAACTTTTCACGTGATATGAGATCGAAATTTTGTACCTCAGGGTAATGTTGGTGTAAGGTACCAATTTGTGTAGCACCAAATTTCCTTCATTAAAAAGTTATACTTTATGTATTAGCTAACTAACCAAAAATATAATTAAGCAATAGTGACATTGACATTACTAAAATCTATATACAAAATTAAAAAAATAAAATAAAAAAATTTAACGTTTATGGTCAAACTTCATAGAATTCTTGTAATAGATCTCATTTGTTCAGAAATCAAGAAAAAGAAAACCCCAAATAAATTATATAAAATGAAAACACATCAAAAAATAATAATTTAAAGATTGAAACAAGAATTACTCTGATAATCCACGCTTATTAACAATACAAGAATATCGATGAGCTCCGACTAAATTCTGATTAATCACGCTAAGTGCTCTTCTAGTTTGTTTCCTCTCCCCTCCAATCTTGACAATTTGTGCGTTACCACCTTTCATTCATTAAAAAAAAAAACATCTTTAATTAAACTGATATTTTGTATACCCAAAATTAAATAAAAAAAAGTGAACAACGTCAATCCAAATAGTTACCTTGCACATTTGTGATTTTATTCTGGTCCATTTTTTTTTTTTGTTGTTGAATAAAAGAACAAATGAAAAGAAGAGAAGGGAGAAAATAATGTTTATTGTATATTATGTCTTAGTGAAACATTGTTAGATGTGATATGCTTTATATATTACAAAGAAAAATATGACCGTTGTGACAAATTAATCCAAACATGGTAGACTGCTAAATTACTTTCTATAATTTCTTGATTTAATTGGATTTGAGTCAATACTATGAGATTGTAACTTAATTAACTTGTCATATTTGCTTTATTTTTTTAAAAAAAATTGTAATTGCTATGTAAAGGCAATTAAATGTATAGTTGACCGCTAGTCTAATTACACAAAAGCCTTCACGTAATAGCCGTTGGAAAAATATATCAAAATTATAAATTAAAAAAAAATAAAAAATCAACCTACGATGAAACATAATTTTATAAATTATTTTTACCATAGATTATACAACACTGTCGTATTGATGTCTTCTTTACAAAATAAAGTGTCTTTTAATTAATTACCAAGGTGACAACTGAGGTATTTAGAAGAAATCGTCTTAGATGTTGTAAAGATTAATTTCAATAGTTGAGTGACTTTTGTAATTATTTTTTGTAATTTTACAAAATTTAATGAAAAATTATTTAAATTGACTGAGTGACTTTATAAGTAAAATATCAATAATTGAGTGACTTTTTAAGTGAAATATCAATAGTTGAGTGACTTTTGAGTTACAAAACAAGTTGAGTGACTTTCTAAGTGAACTATTGAAAGTTGAGTGACCATGTGAGATATTAACTCCTTTTTAAAGGATCATTTGATTCAAAATCAAGATATTCCATTTCGAAATATGAAATATAATTTAATTTCAAAATTTATATCGAAATATTCACCTAATCCCTTGAATCAAAACGCGACTCTATCCGCTCTTGTCCACTTTTGATTTGAGCTTAATGGTTATATATGGTGGTAGACTGGTAGGCTTCAAAATACAAGCGCTAAATTTAGAGCATGACAAAACAGTATGTCCATTTTGCCCTATATTTCAATCATTTATGGGTATTGTTATCAATTCAATATATGAGAGTGAAGTGGTGGAGGTCGGTGAAACCAGGGCATGGATACCACCACTTGGAGCAACATAGAGTTAGGTACTGTGAACTGAAATGACCAGAAACAGACATTGGACACTTCTAATATAGTAGAATTCTATATTCTGTCTCAACAAAGATCAAGTACATTGGACAAAAAAGTACTAACGATATGGAACAATGAAAAATCTCACTTAAAGAAAATCAAAATTCTATGTGCCACGTCTGATGCCTTAAATCCAAGTCTACTACTACTGACTCTCTACAAAGCTAGGCTTATTGGGCTTGTGCGCGCATGAACAGCCACTATCTAGTGTGATGAAGAAGACAAGTACAATTAATTACTTTTTTATAATGAAAATGTTTATATATATGAACATTTCATAATTGCTATGGGAGTACAAAAATGGCCAAATATACCATTTGTAATGCTCTCGGTTTAAATATACCCCTTTCATTATATTTTGATACATATATATTCCTAATTTTAACGGAGGCATACATGTCAATTTAAGAACAAATAACTCATGACCCCAATTTTAAATACCCATTTCCTTCAAAATCCACTCATTTAGTCCATTTCCTCAGGTGACCCTCCTTCAACCAAATTAAACTCAATTTCATAAGTTATCTTCATTAATATCAGTCCTCAATCGCTAAGAAAGTTCATTGTGAAATTTAAGGAGGAAGTGAGAAGCACTGCTTCTTTTTTTTGGATAAAATAAAGTAATTTTATTAATAATAGTAGACCCAGGGGTACTATAGAAGTGAAAAATAGAAGCTATGCAACCTCCTCACCATCTCCTTTAATTGTAATTTCCGATTATAACCTTTAATGTTAGCAACTTTCCTTAAAAAGGGTATTTGTATCATTTCTGTCCAGAAAAGTCGTTCATTTTATATTGTGGGATGCTCTTGCTGGTTATTGATTGCCGGAAGTTGAGGATCTAATTTAGATGGTATGAACTTTTCACTTCCTCTTTGAGTTTCACAATGAGCTTTCGTGGTATTTGAAGACTGATTTTACTAGAGGTTTTATGTCGCGATTCAAACTGTTGTGAGTGACACTTACCCTAATCCTTCAGGTGAGAGACTAGTTATGAAAACCAAATTATGAAAGAAATAGCTAAGAGCAATTTAAAATTTGATAAAGGATTGAGTTTCCATAAACTCAATTGATAGTTAAAATATTGCGAAAATTAACCTCTAGAAACTGAAAGTGATAGTACCAAAACTTTAATTAGTCAATAATGAGGATGCAACCCCGAAAGCTAGAATACATAGACGAATAGTCTAATGTGTGTGTCTTAAAAGATGGGCAAGAAGATGTAGAAGAATCCATGACAACCTAAAAGTAGTTCATCCTTGAATTCAAAGATCATGCTTCCTTCAACTGAGGTCTCGTATCAGTCGCATGAATATGTCTTGCACTCAATAAGCAAAGAGCAAGTGCAATATAAGTACACTACCATGGTATATATTGGTAGGATCACCTAGCCAGTTTCAAACTACGAATATAAACAAATGACTACAACATAAAAGCACAAGCCAACACATGTAACAATAATCACAAACACATAAACTCCCAGTCACATTATTATGAACCACTTAATACCTGAAATGTGTCTCACATGATTACAATTACACATATCTTGTCCTCTCATGGAACCACGATGCACATATCCGTTCCTCTCATGGAACTCATACATTAACTATTAGTGTGTCAGCGCGGTACTCGAGCCAATTAGTGTTAGTATTCATATCAGGTATGGTATCTGATCCAACTGTTAGTATTTCATTACCGACGTGATACCCGAGCCAACCAACAATCACAAGCAACATCCACAATCACAATGAACAATAACACTTGAAATCACAAGTAAAGTAACACATGTTCATTGCATAAGATTATCAACATGATGTCATTTCATATTCTTCCTAATGTTTTCCCCAACATACATTGCACAAGTGGTACTATGAAGTAGTAGACTTGCATACATACATAAATTGAAAAACATACAATCACCACCTACTTTGAATCAAACCTCTTGAAAACTCCAAAGAACCTGAGTTTTCTCCTTTTTCAATGTCTTGGCTTGTTTTTGGTCTAAAACAAAAAAACCAATACAACGATCAATTACAAATGACCTAACAATACTTGGATTATTATCAAATCCTAACCTCAGGCCAATTCATGATCATTTTACCTAACACAAGGCTTTTTCCACTATTAAATCAAGTCAAAACTCTTCCCCAAGTGTAATATCCTAGATTCTAAGGTTTAAAAATCAATTTACAAAGCAGGAGAGTAATGGACTTGCCTTTACAAGATAGGAGAGTAATGGACTTGCCTTTACTCCCCAAAAGCCTCTATTTGATAATATACCTTTGACCCTTGACGTTCCAAACTATCCCCTTCACGGCAAGTTCAATTTCAGGAATATTAGTCACCCGAATTTAATTTTGTAAACTATGGATTCCTTAATGTCTTGGCTACTAGAAAATATAAATCAAGCCTAGACATATCACCCTCACCCATTTCCAAATGACCTAAGAACTCACCTTGCTCATATTTCGTCTAAGACTGGTCTAGCCTAGTCTAGAATTTTTAAGTCACAATCCAAAAAGTTTTCTAGCTCAATTTTTTTCACCATTGACCTACTCATGACAATCGGGACGGATTGTTATATTTTAGATAAAAAAAAGATACTTATACAAATGGGTTTGATTGAAGATGGGTCAAATGAGGAAAGAGGTTAAATGGACGGATTTCAAAGGAATTAGGTATTTAAAATTGGGGATGAGTTATTTGATTTTTAAGTTGACATGTATTCCTCTATTAAAATTAAAGGTATATATGAGTCAAAGTATAACGGAAGAGGTATATATGAATCGAAAGTATAGCGAATGGTATATATAAACTATTTCTTATAGTATTTGATCATTTTCAGTACTGAGTATTGTTATATATGTGTAGTGACATTTAATGTTTAAATCTCATTTAACTATTATAAATAAAAATAAGTAAAAAATTAGTTTAATGCTTTTGTATATAAAAAGAGAGTAAAGTATTTGTTAACCAATTTAACCAAAATAATAAAGAGTATGAAAGTAAAAGAGGTGCATTACCTTTCCCCGTGAAGGTATGGTCATAATTGTTGACACCAAATTTTGGACCTCCACAATATATATTAATCATCGAGCTTCTTAAATTCCGAACGATTTGAAATAATTAGCTTTATAAAATTCAAAATGTTTTTCAAGTTATTTTAAAAAGTTTTGTAACTTTTTATAATTTTTAAAATAATTATGTATATAGTTAGTATATTTTATGAATATTCGAAAATCATATCAAAAAAGTTTTAATTTCATTTGAATATTTGGTTTTAGTTTAGTTAATCAATAGTTTATATTTTTGAGTTAATTAGTTTATAAGTAAGTTAATTATTTTATTTCGTAGAAATTAAGAAGCTTGCTGATTAATCAATATTAATTCGTCTTATAATAAATTTTAGTCAAATTCACTTAATTAACTAAATTTGACTAGCTTCTTAATTCCCATTGGCCATAATTGTAATTCTTGTGGCCATTTTGGTATTACAATTCTAGCCCTACCTTAACTCATTTGTAAGACCACTTTTTGGCTGTTTCTTAAAAATTTCTAGCTGCCATTTCCCATTCTTAATTCCAACCAGCCCACTAATATTCCCAGCCCATAAAGACCCATCAGCATTGCCAATTAACCCACCAGCAAAATATTAATACAATCAGCAGCATAACCGACCCAACCCACAACAATTCCTAACAATAC